TACTAATTTAGTCTTCTAAAACTTTTTCATCTTCATCTATCAGGGCAGGTGCCTGGGAATATTAAAAGTCTTTTATGTGAGTACTATGTTAGATTTCACTGGAAAAAGGATGAGAACAGCACCCTGATTGTGCCAGAATTTGACTCCCTGATAAAGCCCCTCCAATCTATGAGACAATTGCTTAACCAAGCATACTTTAAAAGTGCATCATCAAGATGCAGGCTTCTAAACTGTTGTGTAATAATAATTATATGTTACAGTAAAAATCATTAAGAAAGTTTGGGGGTTATCATTATATCACGGACTTAGTCTGGTTCCTGACCATAACATCTTGGGCAGTTTTACATGGATTCTTTAGTTATATAGCAATATAAATTAGTTCCCTTCTCACTAGTAAAAGAAAGAAAACCTAGACCAATTTTGAAAAAAAACCAAAATTAATACTTCTTATGATGGCACTAGTATTTGGAAAATAGAGCGTATTTTTACATATAGTTGCTTAATCCTTCCAGACTTGTACGGGTTCTGGCTACATCTGATTGTGAGCTGAGACAATATCTCAAGAGTTTATGTCTGTATCCTTCCTCCCTACTAGGCAGGAACTTTTATTCTATGTGTCTGCAGATCCTTAAAGTAGAATTACTTTCTTTTTACTACCACAAATTAATTCTCTTTTATTACCTCATCTTATTGATCTATAACCGGTGATTACCCAGCTCCAAATAGCTATTTTGTCGACTAGTTCCCATACTCTTTCCTGTGAAGCACATTTCACAAGATCAGCAGGGGAATAGGTAATGATAACCATGTGCAATGTCAGCTTTTGGAAAGGGAGTCTTTGAGGGCTCTTCGTCAGAGGGAGACATGCAAAATGCCAAGTGGCAGTTGATTGCTCCACTGGCTACATGACTCCATGTTTACTCATTCTCACCCCTCTGTAGACCAATGACCAACAAGTGTCCCAAGTATTTTAGGCATTCAGTGAGGGATTTGGTGCAAACTACATTTCCAGTAGAGCTCAAAGGAGCTCTCATAGTAAGACTGCTGATGACTTTCACAGAAACAAAGTGAATTCTTACTTTTTCATATAAGAGCTGTGAGAACAAATCCTTCTTTGTTTAGCCTTTCGATCAGGAGCGTTACTCATTAATTTCACCATTATTGAGTTTGCAATGTAACCTTTTCTTGAAATTGTACTGAAATAATTCCTTGGTTCATCAGGGACCCAAATATATGTAAAGCTGAAGAGTGTGAAGGGACAGTAAGAGAGAGAAGTAGATGTTTGTGGTTTGAGATCTGGAAGTGCCCTTGAACACTGGGCTGGCCGAGCAGCTGAAGCCAGAGCGCTTTGCTGAAGATGGTGTTAAGCTTCACCAGTGTTCACAAGGTGCTTATTAGGAAGAAAAATTCATGAGTTTATGGTTGAAATTCAATAGTAATGAAGCTGTGAGATTGGACAGAAACTTCACTAAACATCACAAATTATGTAAGCAACAAAAATAGTGTTTCTGTTTATTTCCTCATGTACAGCAAAGCCTTTATTTTTGGTTCTACCACATCCTAACATTGTGTGTCATTAGCAATGACAAATGACAAATAAGTTTGTGACCCTTTTCTTTTTAGGTGCTCTTTGCTGCAGGAATGCCCAGACCTCAACCAGAATACCTACTTTACAACTTACGAAGAAACTGATGAGAAAGAGAGTCCTGAAATACCACAGAAAATCCTATAAAGAATGGGCACATTGCCCTCAGAAAAAGAAAGAGTCATTCACGTCTATCTGTATCTTGTTCTCAGCACACTGACCAATTTTTAAGTCAGACAGATGTGTCCTGTAGCACCCACCTTCCAACCTGTCTCTCCATGTACTAGGTCATAGCTTTAATTTACGGAGATGGCATTCATAGTATCGCAGAAGGAGTTCGGGCAGTTGTGAGGGGATTGAATCTGAACAAGCAATAGAAATCATGTGATTGTAGACTCCATAGAACAGATCCAGGCTACGCTGCAGTCAGTGAAAAGTTTTCCTGGTTTGGTCCTGAGACTAAGACACATTTATAAAGAGCGTGTAAAGGGTGAACAAGGAAGGAAAGCTAAGAACTCATTCTGGAAAGGTGTCATGGTTCATGGGGCTCTGAGTTCACTGACTCAATAAAATCTTTAATCCTTTTCTGTGAGAATTGTACATAAATACGCACTTCTTCAGCAGGTGTAGAATTCCATCCTCAAAGGGGTTTTTGGTGCAAATTGCAGTGGGACAGGCAATTTGCTAGCATGTCACTCCCGTCTGAACACAGATGCACCTACAGAAATCCTTCCTTTTTTCCTCTCTAATCTCTCTTCATCTGTGTTTCTGGATGATTTTTCGTTTTTAGTGTGATCTCTCTCCATTGCAATTTGCTACCTTACACCTCCCAGACAGAACAAGTACGGATGTTAATAAAATTCACTGGGAATGAAAAAAAAACTGAGGAAGTTCAGTGGGAGCCAAATTAATTTTTTCTTTGTCCAACTTTCCTATTGTCTGTTTCCACCACTGCTGAAAACCCACAGCATCCTGAGTAATATGAAATTATTATGGCAATACCACAGCATATTCTCTCAGGTGACAAGAGTGTAATAATAACCCATGTTAAAGAGACCACATTCTATTACCTGATCTCGCCACGACTGGGGTAATATATGGTTGTCACTCTATACATTACTGTGAAAGGCTACCCAGTTTGTGCCAGAGCAAACAAAGCATTATTCTGCTCTGATATTAGAGCATTTAGTAGTATGACTTGGGAAAAATATACTTGTTTACCATCCTTATAGACTTTACAAATGACACTTCGAGTGGAAAATAGTGGAAAAACTACATGCAAGGAAACATTGACTCCACTAATGATAATCTCACCTCCGCATGTAGGACCAGCTCTCAAAGGGGAGAAGGGTGTTTGGAGATGGTGGATCTAAGAAAGCCTTAGGCACACTTCATAAACCCCTGAACTGGAGTTTGCAGTATATTAACTCATAATACCTCTGTTTAGCACTGCTGTTCCTACAGACCTCCCAGTCCTACATCCAAATTTCACAGCAGATGTTGAAAAACTGGAGGAGAGCATTAAAGTGATTAAAGGATGGAAAAGCTCACAGTGAAACAGGTTGAGATCCTAGAGGTTTTCACCGGTACTGTAAGTTTATCCACAAGAGGGAACAGCCTTTGAAGCTTAGGCTACCACAATTATCAAAGACTAGGTTAAGGAAGGACTTGTCCCTAGCTACGTATACCAGGAATGAAAATTGGCCAGCCTGGGGAGTTTCACACTAATCATGAAAAGACAATAAAATCAGGCTGAATGTTAAAGCTAGCCCACATCAGACTGAAAATGAGGTAAAATATTTTTAGAGGAATGATATTTAATTGCCAGGACACTTATAAAACTTCTGGTGAATTTCCCACCATTGGACCTCACCATGTGGTTTTTTTTTTTCAAGATTGGAAGTTTTCTATAAGATAGGCTCTACTTCAAGTCATATAATTATCTCTGAAAAAATCGGGCAAGTCCAATGTTGTTATTGCAACAATCACTTGGTTTTGAAAATTGCAAGGACCAGGAATTAAACTGTCACTGGGATATTCATAAGTGAAACACCTTAATCCTGTTGTTTTTCTAGTTTTGATTGCAACTGTTTTCTTTAGTTTCTGCATTTGCACTAAATATATAATTGCTATATTTTCCAGTTCTGGTATTTGCTACAATGCAAAATAGATGTCAGAAAACTGGCTTAAACTGCTACCTGCAAATTTGCTATCAAAACAAAACTTAAAGAAGTGGATTTTTTTAATTACACTGAAATTTTCACAAATTACAGGAAACACTGGTGCAAGTTAGATATGTTTAACAAAGTGTCATGTGAGAGAAGTACAAATAAAATCATTAAATGAAACTTTTACTTCAAGGTTGATTTCTGTCATTATGAACTTGTTTAATTGTCTAAAGAATAGGAAAGATAGGAAAGAAAGGATAGTTGGATGTACTTTAGAAGCAAACATGACATATATTTTTAGATTAAGTAATCCAAAAGCACATTAATGATATAATTCAATAACTTTATAACAATATACACAAGACTTATGGGTTTAAAATGTCTCATGTGGTGAAATGCAAACATTTGTCACTAAGTCCATTACACATATTTTACAAAATCAACATACATTTGCAGCAGCTTCTCCTTTACGTTCACTTCTACAATTACTTAAACAACTGTGTCTATACCTTAAGGGGCCAGTTCTGGTTCTATTCAAATAAAATTACCATTGGAACAGAAACAAATTAAACAAGCAAAGACACTGCGGGCCTCACACTGTATTTACCTACCCAATGCCTGAGCCAGGTTCTGTGTGGTGCTTTAGCTTAGAAGGGACTAAGCTCAGCAGAACCCCCCTCACCACAGAACTGCCAAGAAACTGCCTTGATGTTGAAACCAAGCCAAATTATAAACGTACTTTAGGATTTTTTGTTATGAACACAATCACCATCAACATCCTCATCACTAAAATCAACAAAAATACTATAGTTGTAAACTGTCTCCCAGTTCTGCCACACAAGCATTCTCAATAGGATTGAGAAAGTCCACTTTTTTGCCCCTTGTCTTACTCAACAGATGATCACTCTGTTGACAGAAGTGGCAGATTTAGGATCTGGAATATTATTAGCTACATTATAATTGAAAAGATCCTCAGGATCGGGCCCCACTCAAAAATAAACACAACAGAAATATTTAAACACAAGTTACAAGTTCAAGCTAAGAAACCAGAAAACCTTATTGTAACTTTAAAAGTGTTTTGATCAAATGAGCTTAGCTTCCAAGAGGGAAGGGAGAGGCACAGTATGGTGACCATGAGTCCAGCAGACAATTTTTCTCTTTTTCTTTTTTTTTTTTCTTTTTCATTTTCACTGGCATTATTTTAAAGGAAGTAAATTTAAAAAAAAAAAATACCTCAAACACCTTACCTCATTTAGCTGCAGATTCTGGAGTGGAAATCCTTAACTGAGGCAATGAGAAAACTGTCTACAGAGCAGTAGGTTGGGTAAGCACAGGTACTAGGTTATGTCAACTAAAGACTCCCAGGAGTGAAGATAAATGGATGTGATACTAATTTTAAAACATTTTGCTGAACACCCAGGCAGCCAATAGGGGAATTCCTTAGGTCACTTCCTGTTCGTTTGATTGGAGCTGCAACGACAACAACCAAGATGAGGTTGAGAGCGTTTGCATAAGGCCAGCTCAGTCCTAGGCATTCAAAGAGAACAGGTCTAACCGGGTTACACGCGTGGCTCCAGAACAAAAGAAAAACCTGGTAATGGATGAGAGATTGATTTCTTTGTAGTTGTTTTTTTAAGACCATCCCTTTTTTTTTTTTTTTTTTTTTTTTTAAATGGAGGTTATTTCAGGTAGATAGGGAGATCATAATTAGGATGGGGAAAAATGAAAAGCAGGAATGTCCTAAATTAAAATTAGTCTGGAAATAGCATTCGGAGACGCATGGTGTGGAATAACCTTGTGCTGGCAGGGAGATGGACTAAGTGAGCCCATATGGTGGGCTCAGTTCTTTCTTTTATACCTTGAGAATTCTGAAAAATGTGTGACTGCAGAAGGGAGAGTTTATTGGTCTTTCAGCTTCTCTGACTATTTGAGAGAAAGTAGAAAACAGAATGAGGAAAAAATCATCAGTGCGTGTATATGGAGTTGAGTACAAAAGTTCATCCACATGCACGTTAGCAGGACAGAGAATCAGCCGATGTGTGCAGTCCAAAGCATCCTTGCCCGTGTGTGACTTATCCCTCCAGACTGCAACCATGAACTTGAGCAGAAAATGAGGAAAAATGCAAATATGAAGCCTCATCTGTTTCTCATTATTCCACTGTCAGAAAAGGCACCTAACATGGAAACAGTTAAAAATGCAGCAATGTAGGAAGGTTCTGAGGTTCCATTAATTTGTATGCCTAAAACACAAGAAGTGCAAAATACTATTATACAGTGACAGTTCAGTGGTCTGTGTGAAGTGAATTTTTTAGTCTTTGCTTGTTTTTGGTCCCAAGTTTCATCATAAATTTTCCCCCTGACAGATGCTGACAAGCGTTCTCAGTGGTAGATTTACCAAGCACAGGGAACGAATTGTCCTTCAACATCCAGAGATACACTATTAATTATTAATCAAAGCTCATTGTCGATGTAGGGGAAATATTTCACAAATATTATTTATGCTGAACCTGATTTCAAGATAAATAATGGATCTCAGACTCAAGGAATGTCACCTTTGTTCCTATCATCCACACTACCAATGAAAAACTAAGTTGTTTTTGTTCACATAGATAAGGTGCACCTTGTGCACAAATATTGCTTGGGAAGATTCAATTATTTTTCATCCAGGCTACAGTCAAGTTCCATAGCTTCTTGCATTGATTCCTACCTATCAAAAAAAATTGTCCTTGAGGAAGAAGGAAGATATAAATGTACATCTTGGAGAGCAGGATTGTCTTGTAGGGTTAAGCTTGTCACTGCAAACAGTTAGGTATCTCTTTGGGGTTTTGATAAGTAGACCTAGCGCCTTTAAGATATCTCTAAGCATTCGTGTCACTGAGTCTAAGTATTTGCACACTAGTTTGTGTCTTGGTGAGTATTTATAGTAAGCCTTTTATCATCAAAATAATGTCTTAGCATCATATTAGCATGAATGATCAGTCCAGAGCAGGACAATAGGAATAAGCTAGGAAGTAAGCAAAGAACTAGAAAGCAATGAAGAGTACTTCCCTTCCCAGTAAGGATATCTTTAACAAAAAAACCATGTCTTACGTTGTCCAACTGAGCAAAATATGGGGAATTAACTAGCCACATTGAGATACATCTCGTTCATATGCTGCAGAGGCGCCACAGGAGGATGTGACAATGGGATCCCAGCATAGACAGGGAAATCAGAATTTTCCTGCTGCTAAGAAGGACATCAGCAAAAGCTGAGGAAAAATCATTCAAGTATGGTGCTGAGATTGGTATGTCACTTTCTGTTTGTGTGACTGTTTGGTCCTTTCTGTTTCAGCTCCTAAGGGCAGAGACAGCTCTGGTTGCTAAGACGCAGATACTCCCAGACAGACAAAAAAGCACATTGTACCAACAGGTTTGGACAAGGTGAAGCTAGCTTGGTCGGCACACCAGCATGCATTATTTATTACTGTGCTATTTTCAAAGGCTGGGTGCCACACAGGGTGGTGGCTCCTTAAATTCACTGCCCTACCTGGCCAACTATGCTGCCCCTATGCTCCCAAGTATGCTTATTGATACTTACATGTGGTTCAGCACAGAGAGTATTACAGGTGGCTTTCGGAGACAGGCAGACCTTTCCCTCTGCATATCCTTCTTCAGCACTGCAGCCACAAAATTAACATGAATTTAGTCCCCACACAATTCCAGGTGGCAGCGAAAACATTAAAAACATTGTAACTAGGAACTAGAAGGCCTCATTCACAGTATGGCAGAAGTGTCAGAGCAGATTCCCAGAATTAATTTAATTATAGCCATCAAGCATCAAGGAAATTACCTAAATCTGTCTAGATTCTTAAATTGGCGTCTGTAACTACAATGTCTGACACCTGATGAAAACAAAGAACAAATGTATGATAATTTCTACTTTTTCATTAATATTAATCTCAGTTTCATTTGTAAAATTCCAGTGGAATACCAAAAGATGAGTATAAGAAGCTGATATGCAGTTAGACGAGTCAAGCAATTTGAAAATTCAGTGTATGATATTCCTGCCTTCATTCTGCAACAAAATCAGAAGTGATTCATAAACTTTGATGTAAAATAATACACTTTCTGTAAAAACATCACTAGAGAAGCCAAAAGGAGTAGGAGAGATGCTATTTCCAATCTTTTTTCTGTGTTGTAGGCAAGGACCACCTATTACTAAGGTTGCCCATTACATAGGCTTGCAGAACCTTGTAATTTTTTTCTTCACAGTTTGCCATATTTTTGCCCTTAGCTATTGGGCCAAACTAAAATAGTATATAACAATAAATAATAATAGTATATGTTTTTCCAACAAATTCAAAAAGACAAGGACAAAATACTGTTCCTTTTATTCATAGTAAGAAATGTTACTGTCTTTTCTTTGGAAAGCTCAGGAAGATCTGTTTTAAAGAAGGACTGATTACAATGGGCTATCAAATTAAGGGTGTACTATGTACTATTCCAGATGAAATCCAACCAAAATTAACCCGTTTAAAGCTCATTTGCAAACCACAGAATCGGTCAGGTTGGAAGGGACCACAGTGGGTCATCTGATCCAGCCTCTTCTCAAACAGAGTCACCCTTGAGCACATTGCACAGGATTGTGTCATGACGCTTCTTGAATAACTCCAGTGAAGGAGACTCCACAACCTCTCTGGTCAGTCTGTTCCAGTGCTTGGTCACCCGCACAGTAAAGAAGTTCTTCGCCATATTCAGGTGGAACTTCCTGTGCAAGTTTCTGCCCATTGCCTCTTGTCATATTGTTTGACACCACCGAGAAGAAACTGCCTCTATCCCCTTGACACCCTTGCTTCAGATATTTTTAGACATTAGTGAGATCCCCTCTCAGTCTCTTCTTCAGGTTGAACAGGCCCAACTCCCTCAGCCTTTCCTCATAAGAGAGATGCTCCAATCCCTCAGTTATCTTTGTATCCATACATGGGACTCACTCCAGGAGCTCCATGTCTCTCTTGTGCTGAGGAGCCCAGAACTCGATACAGCACTCCAGGCAAGGCCTCATTAGGGCTGACTAGAGGGATAGGATCATCTCTTTTGACCTGCTGGCAATGCTTTTCCTACTGTACCCCAGGATATCACTGGCCTTCTTGGCCACGAGGGCACCCTGCTGGCTCCTGGACAGCTTGGACCCCCAAGTCCTTCTCTGCAAAGCTATTTTTCAGTAGGTCAGCCCCCAGCTTGTACTGGTACATGGAATTATTCTTCCCCACATGCAGGACCCTGCATTTGCCTTTGTTGAATTTCTGTTCTCTGCCCACCTCTCCAACCTGTCAAGGTCCTCCTGAAGGACTGTACAGCACCCCAGGGTATCAGCCACTCCTTCCAGCTTTGTGTCACCTGTGAATTTGCTGTAGAGGCATCTGTCCCTTCATTTAAATCAGCGATGAATAAGGTAAACAATACTGGGCCCAGTATTGAACCCTGGGGGACACCACTAGGCCTCCAACTAGACCCTATGTCCCTGATCACAACGCTCTGGGACCTGCCATTCAGCCAGTTCTCAGTCCACCTCACTGTCCACTCCTCCAGTCTGCACTTTCTGAGCTGGCCTATGAGGATATCATGAGATGGTGCTGAAGGCCTTGCTGAAGTTCAGGTAGACAATATCCACTGCTCTCCCATCAAATCATGGTCTGCATAATGGATCCCATGATGAAGAGCTTTATTATGCAGTGAGTGATATCAATTTCCTGGCTTCATATGACTTTTCTAGCAGCTAACAAAGGCTACTTCTGTGCCTTCATCAACCTGAAAAAGCATATTTTCCAGTGAGTTCCCTACTTGGTCTAGCAGCTACTCTCTGTAGAGATTTTATTCACAGGCTTAACCCCCAGGATACCCAAAGCTGAAACACCTACCTTTGAACATCACTTATTCAAAACCTAGAAACTGTACACAGAAGACATAACTAAAAGAACATTATTAACATTGTGACAGGTTAGGAGGTACAGTACTTAAGACCCAGACAGGAGGGTACTCATTCAAGAGAAGCTAGCCAATACTATGCATACAGGGAGTGGCCCTGAGCTGTATTTGCTGCACATGAATCAAACTTGAGCTGAAAACTTCTGTTCATTTCCTCATGAGTTTTCTTATGGTGTTCATCCTCATGGTATTTAAGGTATTATAGTAACACATGTATTTATAATGAAAATAAACATTTAATATAGGTACATTACTGTATTACATTATAATAATGCATTAGCACTAATATTACAGTATTAGCACAAAAGCATTTATTGATCTTTATGTTTCCCTAGTGGGGTAAGAAGGTAATAATTTATTGTCCCTCTTTTAATGGGGAATCCTAAAAAGATCAAGA